CCGAAAAGGAACCTGCGACACAGACCCAAGGGCAAAGGGGCGCTCGGTCTAGGCCGGATCTGGGGGTGTGGGCGGCGGGGTGGGCGAGGGCAGAGCGCCTCTCTCTCTCTCTCTCTCTCTCTCTCTCTCGCTCTCGCTCTCTCATCCAGCCGGCGAGCGCAGGCGGCGCTACGCCGGCGCAGTACCGCTGTCCGGGCACGGTGGTCCCGCGCCACGCCGCGGCAACTTGTGCTGGGCCCTAAACCCTGAACCCCAAAATCGGTGCTTGCCGTGCTGCTCCCGCTGCTGCCGCCTGTTTCAGATTGTGGAGGACCTTCGGCAGCAGGAGCGAGAGGTGTCGGCGGCGCTGCGGCGTGCGGGGCGTGGCAGCGAGCTAGTGGGGCAGGCCCGCTGGTGGGCTGAGCCGCAGGCGCATGGGCAGCAGGCCGCCGCAGAGGCGGCTGCGGAGAAGCGGCAGGCGGCGGCCGCGGCGGCGGCGGCCACTCGAGAGGTCGATGCCGCGGCGCACGCCACCGCGGTGCAGGCAGCAAGCCGCGCCGAGACGGCGGCGGCGGCCGAGGGCGGCGGCGGCGGCGCAGGCCGGCATGCAGGAAGTGAAGCGCAACAGCAGCAGCAGCAGCAGCAGCAGCCAGGCGTCCCGCCCCCCTCCACCTCCACCTCCCCAGCCGACAGCTCCTGGCAGTGGCAGGCAGTGGGGCGGTGGGCGGAGCGGGTCAGCGGCGAGCTGCGTGCGGCCATAGGTAGGCCTGCTGAGCAGCCATGAGTCCCTGCTGTGCTTCTGAGGAGGGAGGGCTGCACTCCTGGGCGGTGCACTGCCTCCCGCCTGGGTGCCAGGTGGCGGCCTGGCGGGTGCGGAAGGCTGGTGGCACGGCGCAGCCGCTGCCTGCCCATGGCTGCCGCCTGCCCACGGGTGGCCCCCACCCCACCCCCGGGCGCAGGCCAGGTGGAAAGGCTTGAGAAGGACCGGCACCACGAGGCGGCGGTGGCGGCGCTGCACGAGGTGCTGGAGACCTACACAGACGTCACGCGCTTCCCCAGGTGTGCCTGAGCGGTGTGTGTGTGTGTGTGTGTGCGCGTGCGCGTATGTCCGTGCGGTGGTTGCAGGGCGTCTTTGGTGCGAGCGGTGTGTGTGGCATGTGCTCCCAGCTGCGCCGCCGCTGCCCGAGTGCCTGCACATGTACGAACACACGTGCGTGCCCCATGCTGCCCCGCGGCGTTCTGGGCACGTACACCCTAGATACCCCACGATGTGCTGCCCATACGTGCCCATGCTGCCCCATGCCCTGCAGGCCGCAGCGCCCCGATGCCGTGGTGATTGTGGGGGCCCAGCACGACGCCTACGTCTCCCCGCAGAGCGTGCTGGAGCTGCAGCAGCACCTGACCGGCAGCGAAGTCAGGTGTGGGCAGCGTCTGGCGCTAGCGCTGCATGAGGCCGCTGCCGCCGTGCATGCGGGTCGCCGTCGGCCTCCCGTCGGCTGCTCCCGCCCGCCCTCCACCGCCATTTCTGCCCCGACCGTGCCCATTTTGCTCTGCCCGTACCGCCTGTACCGTGCCGCAGGTGGGTGCCCGGCGGCCATGTGACCAGCTTCCTGCTCCACCACGGCTCCTTCCGCCGCGCCATCGCCGACTCGCTTGCCAAGCTGGCGCAGCCGCCGCCGCTGGTGGTGCCCCAAGCCGGCCATTTGATGAGCAGCAGCAGCTGACATCTCACGCCGGTGTTTCAGCGCTGATAAGAGACCCTGCCGCATGATAGGAGAACCTGCCGCATGCTCCTGCTCCCGCGAAGGCATCAATTTTGTTCAACCAAGTTTTTGTTCAGCCCAAGGTGGTTTTTGCCATCCAGTAACCGTCCAGGCTATCTTTCATGTTTTGCATTGCTTGGCTGCGCTCTGTTGTTTCCACGTTCTGTACGCGGAAAGCTGAAATGGCTTGACTGCAAGGGGGGCTGGCCCGCAGCAACATAGGAGGCAGCATGTGTGTGAAACAATTGAGCCACCATGCACCCTGTGTTGCCGCCTCTATTCCTCCTCGCTCTGGCCGCCTCCTGCACCGCCCTCCTCTGTCTGGTAGCCTGCACAGCCGGGCAGATGCTGGCAGCATGATGGTCCGAAACAAAACACTGCAGCAGGTGTGCACCCCTCTGAAGCGGGAAGCGGCAGGCACGGCACCTCTCTGGGAGCCTCTCGTGCTCACCCTCATCTGTGTGATAGCCAGCCCCTTCCTGCTCCTCCTCCTCTTCGCCCTCCTCTCCCTCCTCCTCCTCCTCCTCTTCGTCCTCCTCCTCTTCTTGGCCTGCATTAGGCGGCAGCGCCGGATGCATGTCGAGCGGGTGCTATGCCAGCCTGCTGAGCCAGCACCAGGGCCAGAAGAAATGAACAGAAGCAGCGGCACCAGGAAAGCTTGCCCCTTCCCTACCTGGCAGCCGCGCCAAGTGGTCTACAAGTTCCGTCATGAGGCCACTAGGCAGGATGTGCAGCCCCCCGCCCCTCCCTGCTCCCGCAGCTGCAGTTGCCGCCACCGGCGTGGCAGCCTCCGCCGGCGCCCGCGGCCGCTGCAGCGGCGGCGCCTGCCGCGTGGCCGTGGGCTGGATGCGGAGGTGTTGCTGCGCCTGCTGCGCCAGGTCAGCGCCATCGTCGGTTTCTATCGGCGCTGCTGCTGCTCCCGCTGCCTCCCCCGTTGCTGCAGCAGCAGCTGCTACAGCAGAAGCAGCTCCCCGGCCAGAGGTGGCAGCAGAGGGCGGATCGCCCAGCTGCATGGGCTGGGCGACGGCGGCCCCGGCCGGCTGCATCGCCTCGGCAGCTGCCCGGAAGCTGCCACCATCATCGTCTATGGGAGTACCGTCCAGTACTGCCTGAAACCGCTCCTTGATGCGCCGCTTGATGCCCTCGTGCGCCGCCGAGGCCAGCCAGCCGCTGCTGTCAGAGCAGTGCTGCAGACATGGGGCAGCGGGGTGGGGCAGGTGAGGAGTTTTCAAGTGGCAGGTTAAGAAAGTGAAGGCAGGCATACGAAACCGCGCTTTCTTCCCCGCCTGCGCATGGTTGGCTGGATCCTCCAGCATCCGCTGCACCACAGAGTCTGCCACACCGCCCAGCTGCAGAGGTGCAAGATGGTAGGGTGGGGTCGAATTTAGCAAGGGAGCAGAAGAGGAGGGGAGGGCTGCGGAGGAGGGAGGGCAAGGCATGTGTGCCGCTATGCGGCAGGCAGCAGGCAGGCCCCGCTGGCTTGCCTGCAGCGAGCAGCTCTGCGTGCTGGGCACCGCCTCCAAGCGGAGGAGCTGGCTGTAGGTAGCAGCCAGCGGCGGCAGCTGCCCCTGACCCCGGCCTCCCTGCTCCTGCTGCTCCCGCTGCTCAGCGAGCGCTCCCGAGCCTCCCGCCGCAGCTGCCGCCGCCCGCTGCTGCTGCTCCTGCTGCTTGCGCTGCTCTGCAGCCAGCGCCGCCGCCTTCTTGTGCTCAGCAATCTTGCCGTACCTGAAAAGAAAGCAGGCCGGGGAAGGGGGCATGGGCGAGGCAGCGAAGGCACGGGTGAGAGCAGGCAAGGGGCGGTGGCATGGTGGGGCAGCTGCGGCAGGAGGTGGGCAGCAGGCGCGGCTGAGCATGGGCCGGTGGGTCTGCCTCCTAGGCTGCCGCCGCCCCCTGCTGCCAGCAGGCGGCGCCCGCGCTGCGCTGCAATGCAGCTCACCACTCGCTGGGCAGGTGGTACTCCACACACTGCAGGCGCCGTGCGTCGGGGGAAGCCCGCGGGTCGAAGCCGCGCCGCGTCCAAGCGTTCTTCCAGGGCCCTGCGGTAAGAAGGGATGGCAGGCAGGTGGAGGGGCAGGGAGGGAGTGGAGAGGCATGCCAGAGCGCGGCGCGGAGCGGCGGCGGCAGAGGCATGGGCGCCGGCGACGGCAGCCGTCGCTGTGGCGAGGCGGGCAGGCAGGCGGGCAGGCAGCCGGGCCCCCCTGGCTTCGCGCATGCTGCATGCACACACACACACACACACACACACACACACACACACACACACACACACACACACACACACACACACACACACAACACACACACACACACACACGCACCGTTGCGGAACTTGTAGCACAGCAGGGGCAGCAGGTCGTCTGCCGGGGAGCGGCCGCTGGGCATGGGCTGCACCCCCGCCGCCGCCGCCGCCTCGTGCAGCGCCGCGGCGGGCCAGACGGGGCGTTGCTGCAGCAGGGCCTGCAGCAGGCGGAGCGTGTGGCCGTGCCGCTGCTGCGCCGCCACCAGCGCGGCCTCCGCCACCAGCTGCGGCACCTGCGGCAGGCAGGCGGGGTGGGAGCGATGCAGTGCCAGCAGGCATGACTGCAGGCATGATTGCAAGGGTTTGGCCATGATAAAGGCAGCCAGTAGCAGCCAGTAAACCCAGTGCCGCAGACAGGCGGCAGGGAGGCAGCTGGGCGTGCCTCGACGTCAAAGAAGGAGGCCATCACTCCGGCTCCGACCTTCTTCTTGCCGCCACTGCCGGCGATGCCACCGGCAACGGCAGTGGCAGCGGTGCCGCCGGCGCTCGACCCCAGCGCAGCGGTGGCCTCGTAGCCCCTGCAGGGAAGCAGGCAGCAGGGAGGTGCCTGGGCGGTTGCCGCAGCTGTTGGTGGCGCCTGTTGGTTGGCTGACCTCCTCTGGCAATGCACCCATGCAGGCTGAGGCTCAAACGCAAGCCCAACGTATCCCCGCCGCACCTGAACGCATAGTCAAACTGCGGCTGCTTGGCAAACAGGGGCGGCGCGCAGAGCAGCGGCTGCGGCTGGAAGCCGGGAGGGCTGGCGCCCTGCTGCTGCTCCAGGCCTGCGTCCCGGGGAGGGAGGGGAGTGGGGTTGGAGAACTGGCCAGGCGACGGACACCGACAGCTGCCGAGCAGGTGGCTGGCGCGGAGCGGGCGCAGGCTTGCCTAGCCAGCGAGGCAGGTAGGAAGGGAGGGAGGCAGGCAGGCAGGCAATGCTCCGCCGCATCCCCTGCCCACCACTCTATGCTGTGGTGGGAGATGTTTGGAGGAGCGGCTCACCCTGCTCCTCAACTGGCCGGCTGTCCAGCGCGACATACTGATAGTCTGCAGGCGTGGTCCAGCGGTAGCTGTGAGGCAGGGTCGCCACCACCTCGGCCACCCAGCTGCCGCCGCTTCCGCTGCCGCTGCCGCCGCCGCCGCTGGCGCCGGCGCCGCCGTTTGCGGGTGGTGCAGGGCGGGTGAGCTTGAGGAGCAGGCGGCGGCTGGGCTCGCGCCCCGCAAAGGTGGCGTGGCAGTTGCGGTCCCCGGGGCGCAGGCGCAGCGACAGCGTCTTGGGGTTCTCCTGCACCCCCGCAGAGCAAGCAGGCGGTGGTGGCAGCAGTTACTGGGTGCGCAGGCGCAGCGCACGGCAGGCGGGCGCGTGCTGCTGGCCGCAGCCGTGCGTGCAGGGTCAGTGATGCCTGCCATCATGCAACACAGGAAGGAGCCGAGCGTCGAGGCGGCGCTCGCCCACCTGCAGCTGGCGAGCGATTCCTTCCAGGCCGCCGAGCGTCTCCAGCACCCGCTGCTCGTCGCCAAGATAGCCGGGGTACTCCACGCACAGGTGCAGCAGGCCGGGCTTGGGCAGCGGCACCAGCAGCTCGCGGGCGTCTGCGGCAGAGGCGGGAGCGGCGGCGGGCCCGGTGCTGGGGCCGGCAGCGCCGCCGCTGCCCACCCCCGCGCTCATCTAGCGGGTCGTGGCTAGCTGGACGGGGCGGCGCGTTTTCCAGTGCTGCCGTCGCCTTTGGATCGGTGGTGAGGCCAGGAGGGCTGCCCAAGGCCTGCCCAGAGGCGGTAGATCGATCGCAGTTGTTGTCAGATAGCGGGCATGCCTCTGCTGCTGCAACTTTTCCAAGGCAGTCCCTGCTTCCCTGCTGCGGCGTGGCACCGCAGGGCCCTTCAGGGGAAATCGGCTTGTTGAACCCGGGCCCCTGTGGTGAGTGAGTTGGTTGGTCTGATCGCTGCTTGCACCAGCAACGTCGGGCACGTAGCCCAGCTCCAGCCCACTCACTCGCTCGTCAATCAGCAGACCCTGCGCTTCCTCTCTGCTTACCTGTACACCAGCAGGCGGTCCGTGCACCAGCGCACCCGGCAGCACCACCACCAGAGGCCGGTAGAGGGCACACCACCGGCACACGGCGGCAGGTGACCAGCGTGCAACGTTTCTGTGCAGCGCGCTAGCACGCCATGTCGGCCCTCCTGCGTGCCCGCATCTCGGCCTTTGCGGCGGGAGTGGCGGTGGCGGGCGTGTTTGGAGTCTACCAGCTGCGGGGCGACGTGGCGGAGGGGCACCAGCGGCTGCTGGAGCAGGTGGGGCAGCGCCCGTGCCTCGGGTTGGATGCACATCCACCTCCCAGCCGGCAAACAGCCAACTGCTGTCTGTGCCAGCTGTCGGCAGCACCCATTGGCACCACTTCGCTGTCGCGCTGATGGCCTGGTGTACTGCTGTACCGCCTGCAGACCAAGAAGTACACTGGAGAGCTGGAGGCGCGGGTGGCCGAGCTGGAGGCGGCGGTCGCCAAGCTTTTCAAGTGACTGTGCTGCCCTGGGCAGCCCTTGGCGCCTAGCACGCCCACCAGGCGAGGCACGGCGAGCTCCCGGGGTTTGAGGTGGCGAGCTGCAGCCGCCCCTTGCTGTGCGGCAGCCCTGAGCGGTAGCCTTTCGCTTCCCCTGCCCACTGGCACTCTCCAGCACCTTGATGCCCAGCTGCATTGTTTTGTCAGCGCTCTACTTCTCATCCGGTTGTAACATTCACATGCTGCCTTCGAGCGCCTCAGAGGGAATGCTCGGGGGGCACCTTGCGGCGGGCGGGTGCCGCGGTGCAAACCATCCAGCCTTGCAGCGTGCGCGCTGCATGGAGTGGCTGGCTGGCATACCCAAAGTAACTGGCACTGGCAGATGTGGGCGTGCCGCATGTGGGCACCGCTGCAGGGCACACAGGTTCACCATGCTGCCGCGCTGGTGTGTCGTGGTGCGCTGTGCGGCGTGCCCGACATGGCTGACATGGCAGCGAGGAGGGCATGTTTATCAAATCAAGCGATACCATGCCGATCCTTATCGTGCACTACTTGCCCCGACACATCCGCCTGGTATTCAGCATTGTTTGGCCGTAAATGGGGACCGACTGGCGGGAGGTGCTCGCCCCCTCAGGTGGGCCCCATCCCGGCCTACCGGGCTTCTAATCAAGCATGTGTAGTGCTGCTGAGGCGATCACGCTGTCGGGACTGCAATCCCCATGCGGCTTCCCCATCCCTTCACCGCTGCATGAACCGTGTGTGCCTCCCCTTCAGTCCAGTATGTGCGGCTGATGTGGTGCGATGCGGCCGGCATCAGGCGGTGCAGGCAAGCCCGCCCGCCGCTACCGCCTCCCGCCTCCCGCCCCTGCAGGCACGCCCGCCATCCTGCGCACCGCCCGCCTCACGCCGTTGCCTTCCTGCCGCAGGGTGGTGCCTCGCCGCAAGCTGGAGCAGGCGAGCAAGACGGGGGTGGGCATGGCATACGCCTGCATGTGGCTGCCGGCCTGGGGGGACTCGTGCATTGATGACCCGGCGGGCGTCCCCGTGGGAGAGATGCGGCTGGTGCCCGACCCCACAGGTGCGCCGCCGCTGCAGGCTATACACAGCCCGCTGTGCTGATGCCTGGATGGCACAGATCATTCCGGGAGCACAGCAGCAAGCTCCTGGCAGCTGGCAGCCCAGAGATGCTGCAGCCGCGGCTGCTGCGGGCTTGCTCACCTTGCTTGCTGCCCCCGCTGGCCTGCCTCCTCCTCGCCTACAGCGGCCCACGTGCTGCCCTGGATGCCCAGCCACGCCATCGCCCTGGTCACCATGTGCAAGCAGCATGAGCCGTGGGAGTGCTGCCCCCGCACAGGTGCGCAGCCGCCTCTGCGGCACAGCTGCCGTCCTCTGCGCTGCCGCCTCTGCGCCGTGCCGCCGTCCGGGCTCCACGCCGGCGTCGCCCCGTGCATCATGCAGCGACCTTGGGCAGGGACGGAGGAGGAGCTCTGCTGCCGCGTGCTGCTGCTCACGATGCCTGGCTGTCTGTCTCCTGGTCCCTCGCGCGCTGCGCATGCTGGTGCCTGGCCGCTGCGGCCGCTGTGAGCCAGTCTGCGCTGCTGCCTGCCTGCCCGTGCCGCCGCCTGGCGCAGTGCTGAAGCGGGTGCTGGCGGGGGCGTTCCAGGAGCGAGGCCTTACTTTCCAGATGGGATTCGAGCTGGAGTTTTACCTGCTGCGCCTGCCCAAGGAGGGCGAGGGCGGCGGCAGCGGCGGCGGTGGGGGCCTGCCGCCTCCCTTGGACACCAGCAACTACTGCCACAGCGGGTCGTTCGATGCGGCGGCGCCGGGTGCGTGGCGGTGTGTGGGTGTGTGGGTGTGTGGGTGGATGCTGCTGGGTTGTGTGGGTGTGCAGGTTGGACGAGGGAGATACTATCCATGGGGCCGTGGAGGCACTCCTGAGGAGGCGCAGCCTGTCTGCCTGGGGAGGCCGCCCACGAGACCACCGACAGATGAGGACCTGACTTCCGGGCAGCGGCACGCCTGCCGACACGCCTGCCTGCCCACTGTCCTTACTACCTCCCACGCCGTGCAGCCCACCACCCGTCCCCATGGCCTTGCGTGCCACCCTCTCCCCTGGCCCGCCCTCCTGCCCCGCAGTGCTGTCTGAGATGTGCGCCGCGCTTTCCTCCCTGGGCATCTCCGTCGAGCAAGTGCACCCCGAGGCAGGCGCGTGCCACACCTGCAGCGGCCCTCATGCTTAGCCTTCCGCCCATGCGCCGCCCTGCCGCTGTGCCTCCACGCCCCTGTCTGCCCGCCTGCCTGCCTGCCTGCCTGCCTGCCTTCCCCGCACACACCAGCAAACTCCCCCACCTGCACCGCATGCCTCCCACACCCCCACTCGCATCGCCACCCCACCCCACCCACAACGCACACCCCACCCCGCTGCAGGCCCCGGCCAGTTTGAGATCGCCACCGGCCCCGCGCCGCCGCTCCAGGCCGCCGACTCGCTGCTGTTCAGCATGGAAGCGGTCTCTGCTGTGGCCCGCAAGCACGGCCTGCTGGCCTCCTTCCTGCCCAAGCTGCGGCCGCGGGAGGCGGCCTCGGGGCGGCACTGCCACGTCAGCGTGTGGCGCGGCGACGCCAACCTGCTGCGCCACGAGGCGCCGGCGGCGGCGGCGGCCGCGGGCGCGCCCGCCGCGCCGCCGCGAGTCTTCAAGCTCGCGGGCAGCGGCGAGCCCGCGCTGCCGGGGCTGGCGCCCGAGGGCGAGGCCTTCCTGGCGGGGGTGCTGCGCCACCTGCCCGCCCTCACATGCTTCACCAGCCCCTCGCCCAACTCCTTCCGCCGCCAGGCGCCGCACTGCTGGACGGGAGCCTACCAGTGCTACGGCCCCAACAACCGGGAGGCCGCGCTGCGCCTGTGCTCCACGCCCGGCGTGCCAGACGCCGCCAACGCCGAGCTCAAGGCCTGCGACGCATCATCCAACCCGCACTTGGCGGCGGCCGCCCTGATCGGTGCGCCCCGGCTGGGGTGCCGTGCCGCGCGCTGTGCTGGCTGGGCCGTGCTGGGCTGGAGTACCGCGCTGCGCTGGCTGTGCTGCGCTGGGCTGGCTGGGCCGCGCTGCGCTGTGTTTGCTGTGCTGCGCTGTCCATGCTGTGCTGCGCAGCGCTGTGGGGCCTGCTGGCGCGGCGGATCCTTCCACCCAGCCTCCCTCCACACCCCTCCTGCTCCAAACTCGCCCCCCCTGCCCCCTGCCCTCCCTGTCCTCCTACTGACCTTCCTATGGACTCCCCCCGACCGCGCCGCTGTGCGCTGCAGTGGCGGGCCTGGTGGGCGTAGAGGAGGGCCTGAACCTGCCTCCCCCCGTGGAGCTGGACCCCGGCAACCTCACCGACTCGCAGCGCAAGGCGGCGGGCATCCGGCCGCTGCCCGCCACGCTGGGCGAGGCGCTGGAGGCGTTTGAGGCGGACAGGGGTGGGTGGGGCGGTGGGGTGGGACGACGCGGCGGGAGCGGCCCGGCCTGCTGGCTGCGGTGGGGAGTGGCGGGGGCACGGCGGGGGCGGGGCCGGGGGCAGGGGAGCCGGCAGGTGCCCCTTTGGCAAGCCAGCCGCGCCATGCGTGCATGCGGCGTCCGATCCGAGCGCAGCATCTGGGCGCCAGAAGCACCCTCTCCCCGCTCTCCTGCTTTCCTGCTCATCGCCCTGCCCCTGCCCCTGCTCCTGCTCCTGCCTTGTTGCTCCTGCTCTCCTGCTCAGCCCCCTGCCCTTGCCCCGTGCCCCGCCCCTCCCCGCAGAGTTCCAGCTGGCGCTGGCCTCCGCCTTTGGCACCCCCACGCTGCCGCGCGCCTTCATGGCGGTGCGCCGCTCCGAGTGGGAGCACTTCCGGGAGATGCCGCTGGAGCAGGAGGCTGCGGCGCTGTACGCGCGGTACTGAGGCGGTACAGCCTGCCTGCGTGAGCGGTCCACAGCAGCGCCAATCTTGATCAGCCACCCGTCCATCGCATTGCTATTTCTGAGCACCTGTGCTGCCCTCGTTGCTATTTCCAAGTCAGCAGCATGCTGTGTTATCTACCAGAGGCATTGCGATGTTTGAAAAGGTCCTGGTTTTGGCAAAGGAACTGAACAAGCGTATGGCCAAACAGCTTGTACAGATGCTCCCAGTCTGTGCAGTTGAGATGGATGTGCAGCTTATTGTATTACTTATCCTACTGGATGCACAAAGCAGCACTTATCCTACTGGATGCACAGCGCACGGCCAGAACAGCGCACGGCCAGGACAGCGCACAGCCAGAAGTCATGACAGCGATGTTCAACAGGCTGGCATTCCATGGCGCATTGTTAGGTTCCGTTGTCTGTTCAGTACCGCACATCCAGGCCCGGGCACATGACCCTCAGCCGCTCTGCAGCCTCTGGCGCAGATTCGTAATAAACATGGAGCGCCTCCAGCGCGGGCAGTGCCGCCACCAGCGCCAAGCTGTCCTCCAGGCTGCTGCCGCCTGGAATGCAGATGGCCAGGCGCTTGAGCTGTGTGGCGGTGGCCAGCGCCGGCGGCAGGGGGTGCCAGCTGGAAGTGAGTGCACACAGGTCTTCCAACTGCTGCAGGTAAGGCCCCGCTGGCAGCTGCAGCTGCAGCTCCCGAGGTCCATCCTTCATGGTGAGGTGGCGCAGCGAGCGCGTGGCCCGGAAGGGCGCAGGCACCGTCTTCAGATCGAAGCCTTGCAGCTCCAGCCGGGTCAGACGTGTCAGGTGAGCGAGGGCAGCTGGCAGCCTCAAGCTGGGTAACTTAAGGCTGGCCACTAGATGCAAGGCCTTGAGCTGGGTGAGGCCGCCCACCACTCGAGGCACGTGGCCAGCTGTGTGCAGCTGCAGCTGCGTCAGCGTGGGCGGTAGTTGGCGGGTTTGGTGCACGCCGGCAAAGTTGCAATCCTCAGCAACCAGGCGGCGCAGGCGAGCCACTTGTTGCAGCCAATCCCAATCCGGTGGCAGGGCAACTGCGCTGTGCACGCTGAGTGCTGTCAGGTGGCTGATGGCTGACAGCGGAGGAAGGAGCAGCTCCTCCTCCAGGTCGGCCTCCAAGTTCTCCTGGTCCCAGTCATAGCAGACTGCGCCAGGTGCCGTGTTGTCGATGCGGACGCCCAGCTCCACCGCCGTCAGCTGCGTCATGCTGCCCAGCATCTGCGCCGCCTCGGCGAGCTCGCCATTCGTTGACACGCCTTTCATGCACAGGCTGTGGGAGTGGCAGGGCAGACAAAGCAGGCGCCAATGAGACAGCGGGAGCGGCACGCCTTACGGCTTTGTGCCTGGCAACAATGTGGCATTCTCTGGCGGAATGGCATAATGCCTGTCTGTGGACAAGGCCAAGCTGGCGGCACTCACCTGAGCGAGCACAGAGCGGGCAGAGAAGCGCATACGGCAGGCACGCCGAGCTCTGGATCCTCCCAGCGGCACATCAGCTCCATGCGTATCACTCGGGTGGCGGCAGCCAGGCCTGCTGCCAGGCCGCGAGGCAGGCTCCTGACCTTGTCACTGGTACCAAAGTCGGTTTGTTCAAACCCTGACGGGGCCAGCTTCAGCCGTTCCACCATCCCAGCCAGGCGGGCGCCTCCACGCCCCGCCCAGCTGACGCCGCTCGCGTCGCCAGCTATGCTGACGCTGGCCAGCTGAGGGAAGCGGAGCAGCGCTGCTGGAAGCGGGCCCATGCAGCGGCCGTCGATGCTGAGGCGGGCCAGCCCGGCAGCGGGCAGCACGGCCAGAATGCTGATGATCAGCTCGGGCTGCTGCGTGCCGAAACCTGTTAGCCTCAGGCTGCGCAGCCGAGGGCTGAGCGCCGCTGCTGCCTCCAACATTTCTGACTTGCGCCTGTACTCTTCCTCTATCTCAGCATGTACAGCCTCTTTGTGGTCAACGCGCAGCAACTCGGATGGAGCCTTCAGCACGGCGGTGGGTCACAGCGCTGGGCCGCCTGCCTCGATCGCGGCATGCCATGCGGCGCACACGTCCAGCAGCCTGCATGTGTGGCAGACGAGCAGCGAGGCGAGCAGGGCAACCTTGGACGCGTGCCTGTGGCAGCCGGGGGTGAAGGGCGCACTATGACGATAGCCATGCTTAGCGCCATCGCCGGCCGCTGGCGGTGCCGGCCGCCACGCAGTCCACAGCTGCTCCCTGAGCCTCGGATGCCATCAGGCAGTACCTCTGGGCCTCGGCAGCAGGCCCCACCTGTCCTCCTCCTCCGAGAGAAACGAGAAGACGTGCTGCAGCACCTCGATTGGCAGGTCCGAGATGGACGAGGGCACCTCTCGGGCTCGGGCAGCAGCTTTTTTGGTCTGCATCCTGCTGCTGTGGGCGAGTGCTTAGTGTGGGATGAGTGCCTGCACCTTTCATGAGAGTGTGGTGGCGCGTTCTTTCCACCCTGCGGCGCCCGCTGCCGCCCCCTTTGCGCATTTCACAAAACTGGGAAAACTTCGGTTTTCGGATCAAATGGCACAGGAAAATTGGGGGCAAACAATCAATCAAAACTGCGCCGTAAGGAAAAGCAAGGTGGCAAGGGTGGTGGCCTACGGGACGCCGGTGGCAGGAGGCTGCACGCTTCCATCCGCATCCACGGCTGCGGCATTAACATACGCCGCCGGGCAATCCCCCGCCACCCGCCCGCGTGCTTCCATGCATGTGCTGTCTATCAGTCCAGCAGGGCGCTCCGCCTGCTGCCACCACCCCGTCTCCCACACGGCCGCCACGACGAGGGACGCCGCGGCCACAGCCGCTGCGCCCTGCAGCGCCTGGCGTGCCAGGTTGTCCAGCAATGTGGCAGGTGGCTGGGCGGGCCTCGCGGTCCCGGCCTGCACAGCGGCGGGACAGGGGCAGTCGGATCGCGGCAGGGCGGAGCAGAGCAGCACGGCACACCGGCTGTGGCCAGGCCGCATGTGACAAGCCCTGTCTGGCACAGTGGGACAGATAGCCATCCCAGCATTGTTTTGTATGCCAATTCAGGCCCAGTGCATGCAGCACAGCACAACGAGCAGCCCATGCGCCCACCTGGTGGCCGGCTGCCGCTGGCAGCGGCAGGCTGGCGGCGGCCGGAGGCTGCGCCTCCTCCTGCTGCTCCTGCGTGTCGGAGATGCCCAGCAGGCTGTCCAAGTTCCTCAGCGTGTCCTCCGTGCTCCTCGCCGCTGCGCCGCAAGGGCCATTGCTGCCGCCAGGGTTTGGGGGTCGACGTGCGCACAGCAGCGCTCTGGGGGATGATAGAAAGTGTGGGCAGCAGGCTGCAGGTGCTGCTGTGCGCAGCTGCGTGCGAACGGGTCTAGCCGACGAGGCGGAAGCGGCGCGGCAAGGCATGCAGGAGCTCAAAGTGTCTGTGGAGTGTACCGAGAGACTCAATTGAGGCTGGAGAGGCGTGCGTCTGGGCCAAATTCCACTGCCAGTGCTTTGCCACCGCTGGGTGCATGCGCAAGCGCCGTCCTGACAGCCCAACATCTGCGCACCGCCTGCGCTCAATTTATATCATGTTCATTCGCAACAGCTGCTTGAATGTTTGATGTTTGATCTGCTTGCATGTTTGAACGCCCTCCACATCCAGAAGTGCATCCCGCCGCGACCCATGAGCAGGTGCCGCACTCACCGCTCCCCAATTCTGCCGTCTTTCAAGCCTAACTGACCCTAACTGATTTGCATGATTGCAGCCTGCAGTATACTAGACGGAAACTGCGCTGGGCTGGGGTCAAGTGCAGGGGAGTGGCGGCGGCGCTTGGCTGTGGTAGTAACACAAACGGCCTCCCTGACCGTCCATTTCACTTGAAGCAGCCACTGACCAATCGGCAAACCGTCGATCAGCTCTGAGAGGCGCAAATACACAGATATCTTGTTGGCCGACGCTGACGGGGCACGACGTGGCACAATGGTAGCCCCGGTCAAACCCCGCCAACCATGCACATCATCATCGAAACGGGCGCCCATCTCGCACTCAAGCTCGTTGCAGATCAATTCAAGCCCCCCGATCGCTCGTGCTGCAGCTTGGGGCGTCGCAAACCCCAGCCTGCTATAGTAGAACTTGAAAACCGTCGCGCAGCCCTCCTCCGAGCCCCCGCGCCGTGGATCACGCCATGAACTGCACTCTCAGCCTGCACAGCGCTTGTGCCGGCCCGGCAGCGGCCATGGCATCGCGCCTACATGGCAGTCGGCATCAGGGGGCCCTGCTGGGCTTGCAGCAGCCGGCGGGGCTCGTGCCCCGCACCCGCAGCCTCAACAGGGGCCGCCTGACGCAGCTGCGCGTCGCGGCGGCCGCCAGCTCGCCCCCGCTCCCCGCCAAGCTCAGCGGCGACGACTTGAAGGAGGCGGAGCTCAAGAAGCTGCGCACGGTGCGTGCTGCCGCTGCTTACCTTGCCTCGCCTGCGCCTGTCGACAGCAGCCAGGGCAGGGGCAGCGAGGACGGCTGCGAGGGTGGCTTGGGTTTGCCTTGCGGTCGGCCCGCGGCGGGCGGCGGCGTGGGAGACGGCGGGGCCCACTACCACACCGCCCGCGGGCGTGTCCCGGCCGCCGCACGCCGCCGCTCAGACGCCCGCCCGCATTCCGGGGCCCACTCACTTTTCTGCCCAACCCTCCACCCTGCCCCCCCCGCTCATCCACGCCCCCAGCTGGCTGCTGCCAGCTTGACTGGCTGCCCTGCCTCCTGCCGCGCCCGCTTGCCTCCGCTTGCCCCGTGCCGACCGTTCCCGACGTGCTCTGCTCCTCCGCATTTGTCTCCCGTCCCGGCCGCAGGTGGCGGACTTTGAGTTCTGGAAGCGGCACCGCAGCAGCAGCCGGTACTGGCGCCACGTGCTGGGCATCTTTGACTCGCGTACCTTCTCCTGGGTGGCGGCGCCGCTGTCCTATGTCATGCTGCTGACCACGGGTGTGTGCCTGTACTACACGCTGGCAGAGGTGAGGGCGGGCGGGGAGGTGTGCATGTGTGTGGGGGGATCGAGGCGGTGTGTGCGGGGGTGTGTGTACCGCGCGGTTGCAGAGCGGTGGAGAGATAGAGAGAGGGTGGGCCGAGCGAGAGCAGGGGGTGGGGAGACGTGCTGGGTGCCGCCAGCAGTCGGCTGGCGCAGCATGCAGCCCACCCATGCCCTGCCCCCGTCCCCTGCGGTGAACCTTCCCCTGCACCTTCCCACCACCTCTCCTGCACCTCCCCTGCGCCTTCCCTTCCTTGCAGGCCGGCATCGTACCGGAGGTGATCCCGGAGATCTCAGCTTCCGCCGCCGCCCCCTTCGGCCTCACCTCCTTTGCCCTCTCCACCCTGCTGGTCCTGCGGTGAGCACGCCTGCAGCGAATGAGGCTGCTCGTGGGCGCGCATCTGCCTGCTGGATCGTGGTGGCGGGTGGTGGCAGGGATTTCCGGCAGCCGGGCGCGCAGCTGCACCGTGATCCCTGCTGCCGGCGCTCCGCCTGCCGGCCCTGCCCAACCCCCCCGCCTCCACCGGCGCCGCCTCCCTCCCCGCGCTGCGTTCTCCCTCCCGCAGCACCAACACGAGCTACCAGCGGTGGGACGAGGCGCGCAAGATGTGGGGCCTGATTGTGAACCGCACCCGCGACATCTCCCGCCAGGCCGTGGGCTACATCCCGCCCCACCAGGCAGAGCTGCAAGACATGTTCTGCCGCTGGCTGGTGGCCTACTGGTGAGCAGGGGGGCCGGGGCGGGGCACGGCGCAGCTCTCGTGCCCGCTTGTGCCGCCGCTGGAGTGCCACTGCTAGGCTCTGCCTCCTCGCGCTTCGCTTCTCCCGACGTGTGCCTGCCCTGCTGGCTTGCCGCACCACTGCTCCTTCCTTAACCTGCCCCCGGAGCCCTTCCAACCATCCTGCGGCCCTGCCCTGCCCGGACTTGGCTTGCCCTCCACACCACACCTCACCACATCACGCCACGCCATGTTACACCGCACATCACCACACCGATTTTCACCTCGTTGCGCCACACAGCACGTCGCCTCACCAAGCTGCACCTCGCCTCACCACACCACCCCTGCAGCCGCTCCCTCATGTGCCACCTGCGGGCGGGCGAGGACCTGGAGGCGGAGCTGAAGGGCAAGCTGACTGACATCGAGCTCAAAGCGCTGCTGGCCTCCACCCACAGGCCCAACTACACCTGCCAGGTGCGCGGGCCCTTGCTGGGCTGTGGGGGCAGCCGGAGGGGCAGCCCCCCCGGCTGGCTGATCGCGCTCATCTGGGCTGCCGCCTTTGGCGGGCAGGGCAGGCCTGGGCAGCGCCAGCGGGCAGACCTGCACCCGGGCCCGCTCTTCCCTCGCATCCCGCCCCCCTTGTTCACTTCCCTTCTTGCCTGCCATTCCCTTGTTCCTCCTTTCCTCCTTCTTCCAGGTCCTCACCGCCATCATCCGCGCAGCGCAGCTGCCCGGCGGCAAGGTGGACATGAACGACTCGTTTGCCAATGTCAAGGCCTCGGCCGCCTTCCGCATGGACGAGAACCTGACGCAGTACGCGGTGAGGCCCGGCGGTACATGCGGTACATGCAGAACAGCAGGAACAGCAGATGCAGACAACGGAGCAGCCATCAGCCATGGGGATCGGTTGTGCCCGGTGCTGCCTCGCAGCCTGTTGCCTGATGCCTGCCTGGCCGCTGCCCGCGCAGCAAGCTGCTGCGTGCTGCCCCTTCCCGACCGCCTGCGCCCCGCATGCCCCCTGCCTCTTCCGCCGCAGGATGTGACCGGCGGCTGCGAACGCATCCTGCGCACACCGGTGCCCCTCTCGTACTCCCGGTGAGCAGCGCTGGCAAGCAGGCAGGCCCCGCCTCCCGCGCCCTCCGCTGCCATGCGCGGCAAGCAGTGGCAGCCTCCAGCCACGAATGAAGATGGCCCAGCCATACGCAAGCACAGCCACTGGCTGCCGTGACCGCCCGTCTCCCTCCCCGCCTCACCCCCCGCGTCCCTCCCGCCCCCTTGTTTTCTTCCCTCCCGTCCCCGCAGCCACAACTCCCGCTTCCTCATCATCTGGCTCACCCTGCTGCCCTTCACGCTGTGGGACCAATGCCACTGGTTCACCCTGCCGGTCACCGGCCTCGTGGCCTTCCTGCTGCTGGGTGAGCAGGCAGCGGGCCGCCAGATCTGAGGGGGCTGCTGGGGATGGCCTGCGCCTCTGGATGGTGGCACCTGGGCGCTGCTGCCTGGCACTCAAGCTGTGCCGCGTGCTGCTTGCCTCTGCCTTGCTTCCTGCTGCCTTGCTTCCTTGCTTCATGCTGCCTTGCCGCCTGCCGCCTGCTGCCCTGCCGCCCGCGCCCCAGCCCATCTCCCCAACTGCTCCTCCCCACCCGCCAACCGCTCCTCCCCCTGGCTTTGCCCTCGCGCCACTGCCCGCAGGCATCAAGGAGATTGGTGTGGTGGTGGAGGAGCCCTTCTCCATCCTGCCCCTGGAGCGCATCTGCGACACGATTGAGGCCAACGTGTGGGAGATCCATTCCATCCATTCCGCAAAGGCGATGAAGGAGCAGGCGGAGGCGCGCGCCGCGGGGCTCCCCTCAGACCTGATGGAAGCCAGTGATCTGGTTTCGGTGGTGTCTGAGCTGGCGCTGGCCGCCGGTACCGGCGGTACTGGCACCACCGCCGGAAACGGCAATGGCGCCGGCAATGGCAACGGCAGTGCTGCCGCCGCCGTGGTGGCCGCCAACGGTGCCGTGGTGGTGAAGGTTTGAGGGGCGCGAGGCGTGTGGCGCCCCGCGGGCCCGGCCCTGCCGCCGAAGCCCTAGTAGCGTGCCTTGAACGAATCGACAGAGAGCTGTCCCCCTTGAACAAACGAATGCACTTGGCCCCCCTGTCAGAACAGAACTGCGGGAGGCGCGGTGCCTGCTGCCGGGAGCCTCTATCCTCTCAATGCCCGGCGCTCACCCGTTCGCAACGCCCGCCCCGCCCGCTTGCGCAATTGTTTCACTCTTCCCCTCAGCGCCGCGTTTCATAAGCAAACACTTCCGTCCCCTTTCAGTGCACTGTACCCCCATCTGCGCCCTTGCCCCCTCGCTCCCAGCCGGGAGCACCTCGCCAGCTGCCCTTTTACCCCCCAGCTGCATTTCCCACCATCACATCATGTTTTCTGCGCCGCTCTGGCGCTCGGTGGCAGGAGGTCCGCTCCCCTCCTCTCGTGTACCATTGCCCGCCCCTTGTTGCCCCGCTGCAGCCGCCTTGACTGTCCGACGCCACGATTGATTTTTGCTGCCGGCCCTTGTCCCTCCTTTCTTCGCTCCGTCCAGCCTACTAGTTAATTCTTCGCTCGCCTGAATTTGCTTCCCTGCTCGCTTCTGCGCCCCACGTCCTACTAATCTGCTTTGCCTACCTACTACCTATCATCCCATAATAACTGCGCTGATCTGATTCTGATCTCTCCGAGAGTTTACTGTGTGTGTCCCCGGGCCTGAACGCAGCACAGGATTGGCTCCTGCCTTCCTTCCCTTTTCCCTCGCCTCCTTGTTGGCCAGTCCGCTCCGCCTTTGGGAGCTAGCTGCCCCTGCCGCCGAGCCAGCCTGCCTCGCTGCCCATTCATTGCACGCCAGATTTTTACGATTGCTTGCTGGCCCGCATCCCACGCTGTAAACTCTCATCAAATGGTGATGTGTGTGTGCCCTGCCGTCATGCCAGCACGGCCGCCCCTCCGTTGGGCGCTGGCTGCCAGTTGGGCGGGTAAGGGATGGGGATCTCCTTCGGCTGCCATGGCTGCGCGTAAGGGTTGACGGGCGTCTTGCGTGGCCGCGACTGCAGTGCGGAGTTCAGTTTCGGCGGGAGGCAGGCAAAGGCAAGTGAGCAGGTCGCGACATAGCAAGCACGCCTGTTGGAACAAAATGGAAGGTGCAACTGTGTCACTGGGCACCTCAGTCCTCCGCCACAAACCGGTTCTTGCGCTGGCCAGTGAACAGGCGGGCGAAGATCTGGCTGTACGCCTTGGTCTGGGTGAGGTATCGGATGTACTGCAGGCAGGTGGGCGGTACAGGCAGTACAGGTGGTACCATGAGAGGCAGGCGGATGCCCGAGCTCGCAGCACGGCCACGCAGGCGACGTGGGCACGGCGGCATGCACCTGTACGGCCCGGGCAGGCGGCACAAGCAAGACGCAGCCATCTCCGAGCGCTGGGCTGAGCTTCCAATGCGAGCCAGCGACCTAGCTACTCCAAGCCTTGCCTGGCTGGAGCCCACTCCGTCCCCCAGCAGTGACTTGGATGCTTCCGGCACCTGGCGGATGCGCGGCACCAAGAACTCCGCCACCGTCTGCGGCTCCTCGGCCAGACAGTTGACAAAGAACCTGCGGGCGGCGAGGGCAGGCAGGCGAGGGCCAGGTGGGGCCAGGCGTGGGGCTGCGGCGTCGGCGGCGGGCGGCCATGCGGTGGGCGGACGCGCCGCGGGCGGCGCTCGCGAGCTCGAAGGCGAGCGCGCCAGGCGGGCGCTGCCCTGCCAGCAGCGGGCGGGACCCAGCGGCGCCACACGCCCCGCAGCCTGATGGCAGCGCTGCGCAGGGCCTTGCGGGGCTGCCGCCGCCGGCCCCCGCCTCACTTGGCGATAGGTGTGTTGGTTCCAGCCATAAGGAGGTCTGTGGTGACCATGCCGGGGGACAGATTGTGCACCCCCACCTTCTTCAGTCCCTCGCTTCGCAG